GTAGAAACAGAAAACAGACCATTAGTTTAACTTGCTATTTATCTTTTTCTATTCTAGGAATTAGAAAAGGGTAAAGAGTAAGTTAAATCGATATTAAAGTTAATCTGCATTAATAGAAATGGACATAAATAGAAATGGACAGCCAGTCGCATCAGCCATGTGTGATATTAACATATAACGTGCAAATAGAACTAAAAGGATTGGCGATGAGATTGCAAGTTTTCTCGCACGCGGCGATACGAAAACTAAACTAAACTTGAAATATCACTTTCCTTCATGCAATGATTTATTATTTTTCTATATAGATTAGTTTTTTACGAGACGCACTCGAGTTGCGAAACAAGTTTAATTTTTTTTACTCAATTGGAACGTACTCGTAGAGTTCGTCGAGATAGTATTTATCTGGTGCTCTCGTCCATGCTAATAGAGGGAAAGGCATCGGATAATAATGTATGTGGTAGTGTTGTACATGTCCTGTCTTAGGCAGCGTCTTTTTTGCCTTCAGGGATTCAAAGAATTCCGTCAGTGCCTTCTTAGGGCTGCAACGTAAGAAAACGTGTAAATAATTGAAGACAGAAAAGCGGAAAGTAAAAGAAATAGCACACTTGTCTTCCGTATTATACAAATTTTTCATGCCGCTCCATTCCATCGAGAGCTTTCGATTTTATCTTGTCTCTAGGGGAGGGGAGGAGAGATAATTTTCTTCTTTTATAAAAAATATTAAGCTAATAAATTCTAAATGATTAAAAATAAGGCTATTTAAAAAAGTCTAAATCTGATTTAAAAAAGGCTGTTTAAAAAAAATCTTAGAATGGTTAACAAATAAAAAATCTTATTATTCAAACAATTGCGAGTCTACTTTTTAGCAAAATTTTAACTTAGAATTTGTTAAAATATTTAAAACAAATTACAAAAAATAATAGTATCAAAGTTTCGACCAGAAGAAAACTGGCTCAAGATACGAAAGTTCACAAGTCGAAGGAGACAAAATCGATTTGGTACATCTTGCATAAGGTTAAATTATTATTTCCAAATTTCAATAGCTCTGACATGAAAAAAGTACAAAGATACACTCACTATTGAAAAAAAAATTCTTCCGAGGGTCCGGCCAAAAGCACCATGGGTAGCACCAACTGCAAATCACCACAACGATTAATCTATAGTCTCCTTCAGGTTTTCTTTTTTTTTTTTTAATTTTATTCTCAATTGTCCATGTATATATAATTAATAATTTGCCCGTGATCTCGAGCGACACGTCGACTTTGTTCGCGTCGAGTTACTAAGTTATTTATTAGCAAACCACAGAGCACAAATTGTTGAAGCTGTTATAACGTAGGTGGTACTCCTAAGTGCACTTCCTCCATAACGAAGAACAACATCATGAAATCTCAAATTTGCAAGGTCGACGCGGTCGTTTTTACACCTGCCATTAAGATATCTGGTCATTTACTTGCAACATCAGCCCCGTCTTCATGCTGCAGCACTAACTGGAAGGTTGATCGGATCGCTACGTCCGCAGTCTGCGATATATGAATACAACAAACTGAGAATTTCGATGAAACTGGATCGCTTTATAGCCGCGCTCTCTTACCTTCTTTCTCTCTACGCACTCATACTTTTCATTTTTCCCCTCGGCCGCGGTTCATCAGGTGAAACAGCTTTTCATGATTTAAGAAGTACGTATCGCCGCGTTGTTGTAATCACTTCCTCGCAGCTATCATATGCAAGGCACTGTGTGTGATACGTTTACGGAAAGAAGATTTTACTAAGTATCGAAAAATTTAGTTAAATATATAGATCTGAAAATACTTTTATTGAACCGTTAAAATAATTACGTAACTCTCAAATATAATGAGCAATGCTGCAAAAAGTTTTAACATTCTAGCAATCAGTTTAAGTATCCTACACTGAACAAAAAGATTGATTGAATAAGGCGTAGTATTTTTAATTGGCTGCAATCCAAAGCCAATTAAAAAAATGCTATGCCATATTTTACCATCTAATTTGCTGTAGCAGCCAATTCTATCTTTCAGTATACATAATTATTTTGATAGCCTAACAAAATTATTTTTAGATCTGTATTTAACTAAATTTATAAATAATTTTTTAATATTTTAGCAAAACCATCCTTTCTGTATATAAATCTAAAAATAATTTTGTTAAACTATCAAAATATGTAAAACGTTCAAAATATGTAGAATTTGATTGCTAGAATATTGAAACATTTTGCAACATTGCACATCATACTTAAGATTTTTATGTGATTATTTTGATAGTCTAACCAAATTATTTTTAGACCTGTATCATCTAATTAAAGATATCTTCTTTTAGATATTTTAGCAAAATTTTTTCGTAATATGATGTGCATTATTATGAATTATTAAATAGTGTTTATTAATTAAATACCTATAAAAATATTTTTAAATATAAAATACAAATAATTTATGATCAAGTTTATGCGTTTAAAAACATTTTATGTTTATTTAATCTTTCCGACGAGTTGTATTGGAGCTCTTACGTTTATATATCGATAATATTATATCTCTTTAAGACTTCCGTTTTCTTGTTGCAACGACAATCGCGATAAGAAATCATTTACACCTTTTTTTTGCAATGTCCATTAGAATGATGTTTTTATTTGGTACGCTTTTGAC